TCTGTATTCTGTTGTACATGTGGATTACCCTTATTTAGGACACTGCTTATGTGATGGGAATTAGCTTGTAATGTGTCAAAATGTTTTTGCTGGGCATGAACAGTGATCAGTTTGTGGAGGATGCAGCACTTGGTGGCCTTTTTGTTAAAAGGACTGTGCATATTGAATGCTGAGCTCTTTGAAAAACCTGGACTGACTAGAGGATGAAATGTCATTCAGAGTAGGTATTGGAATGTATCTTGATGCATTATGCTTTTAATTTTTAAAGATAACATGGAATGCTACTTTAAGAAGGTGGTAAACTGAAACACAAGCCTCCACTGGTAGGAAAAGTAAAAGGCTTGACAAGAGATGCTGTCACCTGTTAACGCTGGACTGATACTGAAAGTAAACTACATTCACAGTCTGCATCAAACTCATATTTTCTTTATATTAGTATTAAGCAACACTGCATTGCATTAGTTAGTGAGCAGTTAACTCTGTCAGTGTAGGCATACACTTAGCTAAGATAGGGCTGTCTTCCTCAGTCATGAAGCAAGATCAGTTTTAGCAAGATTTTCCTGCTGTAATTATCTTGGCTTCAACTAGCTGCTGAAATCCTTAAACATGTTATAATTACTGGCTGTATGATTGAATTAACAAATGGGTGGTTCATTCTGATTTCCTGAAGTGTAGAGGGGATTCTGTGCTGAATTAAAATCTTGAGCACAAGACTACCTGAAATTTGTGGAAGCAGAGGTTAGCCTTCACTTCTAAAAGAAAATAGTTCCTTTGCGCTATGTTGCAAAATCCTTTTTTAATTCTAAACTTTAAACATGCTTTAATTGATAAGAAAAATCTGCATGCTTCTGCTTTGAAAACTATCATGTGCCTATTTGCAGTGGCACAAGTTCAGCCATTATCTAGTGGTAACTAAATATATCTTTGCCTATGTAGTGACACAGCTTTCTTCCAGAAGTGAAATTGGCAATTGATAGCTTTCACCTGATACAAAATAACTGCTATGATTCATTATGTGGAGGTGGAGGAAGTGAGCTGGAACTGGTGGTGTGTTGCTGTGAACTTCACTGTGAATTGCCAGTCTTATCTGTAAGATCTGTTCTAGGATCCTTCTGGTGCCCTTCCAGGGGAATGCTGTGCAACAGAGCCTGCTGATTCCCACCCACTCTGCTTTCCAAATAAGCAATATGAATATCTTGCAATGTCTCTAATTACTATAGTAAGCATGCCACAGTAATTGGTATGACAGTCTTCTGCGGAGGTCCATTTTAGCTTTATGAACAGTACAGGTAATACGCATACAAGCGCACAGGCTGTCACCTGCAGCGCATATCTTTTTCAAATCAAGTTCAGAGGTGCTTTTGTGCCTCAAATCTCAATCCTGTAAGATAATATCCATCCTAGCAAGCTGCTGCTGGAAAGCATCAACCTTTTAGGAGAGCATTGTGCTTTGGAGTGGGAATTGGTGAGTGAAGTTTTAGTAAATGTGAATATGTAAAGAAACAGTAGGGCAGCTCCATTATTATAGGTAAGATAGCAAGTCATATACTGGTTTTTGGCAATGTTGTAAGAAAATATAAAGCATTACCTAAAATAAATGATAATATGACTTAGTATTAAAAAATGCCTTTGCCCTCAGCCCTTCTCTGCAGTGTAATAGTGGAGAACGACAGCTGGAGAATGGTGTGTCAATTCAGTATTTTACCAATATGCAGCTATAAACCTACATACATTTTTATCTCATGACCCCAAGCCTGCAGCCTTCAGTTTTGTTAGGCCTTCTGTCAGCATGTTTTGTTCCCACTTTGGGAAATTCTCTAAGAAAAGAAGGAAGAAGGTGTTCTGGATTGCTTTCCTGTGTGCTTCGCAGCTGATTCTGTAGAGGCCTTGACATCTGCAATACAATATAGCTGATGTGCTACCCTGTGCCATTCTTGTCAAAGGTTTTTAAATACCTATATTTCTGGCAAATCAAACTTGGTTTGACTTTGTACAAGGTCCTATTTTTCTTTACACAGGAGATGCTTCACAAGCAAAACTTCAGTTGTCTCTTTATAATGTCCCATTACATGAAAATGGTTGTGCAACTTTTTCACTTGTTGAAATTTTACAGCAAGGTACAATGCAAATTATTTTGGAACTTTTTCAGTCAATGCCTTTCTCTTTGAATTCATATTTCTTTTGTAAGTCTTAAAAGTCTGAGGCGGGGGGTGAAATTCAGCCATGTCTTGTATAGGATCTGCAAATAGCTAGAGACTGGGAAAGTACAGAGGAAGTGTAATTGTGGCCCCTGCTAGGAATAAGATACTGAATTCAGTGACTTCTGATCTCACCAGTCCTTACATCATGTTTCTAAGGAGTTACTTTAAAATGTGAGTTTTTTTGTATTTCTGAGTTCAGAAAACACAGACTGGGCTCAAGAACAATTTCCCATCATATTGCAGGACTTCACCAGAAGTGCCCATAGGGATCTTGGTGAGGCAATAATGATTAATCCCTTCCCTGTATCTCAGCAATAATGATTAATCCCTTCCCTGTATTAATCCCTTACCTGAACTACAGGGAGGACTAACAATGTAACTCCTGGACTGTGCAAAGACTTTGATCTACAGATTTATTTTAAGAGTTGGGCAAGGCAATTAAAGGTTTGTAGTCACAACTGGCTAGTAAAAGAAGGAAGGAATGAGAGCATGATGAAGTGAAAGAAGTTAGTGCTCTGAAGGTATTGTAGGTGCTGGCTGACAAGGGGCCAAGAAACACCAGGAAACTAAATAGGGCCAAACTCAGGAGTGGTGCCTTCTGTGGAGTTCTGTAGTAAATTGAGTTAAAACATGCTCTTAATCTTTCTCATGCTGCATGCCTATCCATTGGCTTTCTGAAGACCCTATTTTATACAGCCAGCTTCCCATACCATAAAACATGTGACTTCTTATATAAGGCATTCTTTCTACTTTTAACACCGTTTGGTTTCTTCAGTGTAGATTTGCAAAACTTGCA